TTGAATTGAATTGAATTAAACTATTGTGGGGCTCCTTAAAACGTTTGGAACCTGGGGTTTAGGGAAAGTTTTTTTGGTGAAATATTATTTATTGAATTGACTGCTACAGATACTCCTTTTTCTCAAGAGCTGTCAAACATGAATGAAAGTAGGATCTGGTACAATACTCACAATATTGTGACATTGTGTATATTATAGACTTGTGTATTGGGAGTTGTATTTTTATTTATGTTTTTATGTTTTTTATGACAGGTGGCTAGTCATATACATGCACTTGTTCATCCTGGTAGTTCCCTTTGTGATAATCCTATCTCTGAGCATTACAAATTGTTCTGCATTGTTGGCATCTGTTAAGTCGTCAGCTTCACTGATCTGTAAATCAAACTGGACTGCCTGGATTGTATTTCAGTGTACCTTTCAGTGTGCTTTTATGGACTGATCAAGAGCTAAAAAATTAAATAAAGCTATTTTAAGTATAGTTAGTGTAGTTAAAGTATTACGGACAAGCCAGCAATGTGCAGGTACCTAAGAGGCCTGCAGATGTTTCAAGTATGTGCATATGCCTCTTTGAGATTGCCCAGTAAGACACACATGAAGCTCTGATACAAGTCTCTATTTTGATTTGTGCATACCATACATTTAATAAGGTTTGTACAGTTGGAATATCTTCCAGTCTTCCAATTGACATTTAGTAAATCAAGCACATACTGTTTTAAGGTTTTTTAGTTTAGTTTAAAGTAATAATTGGATATAAAACACTACATAATACACATAATGTGTATTTAATATTTTACTTAATTTCCATTTGATGAAGTGTTTAATCTTGCCTTTTCTAATTGTAGGTGACTACACAACTGTCAAATAAGACTAATTTGCCAGGTGGAAATAAGCTGTGGAAAAGAGAGTTGAAGACATCTCCAAAATCACAGGTGGCCAATCAGAACCCTTCTGAGTTAGCAACATCTGCCTACCAGTCAGCTCCTCAGCCACAAATCACCGATGGCTGCCCACGTAAACTAATAATAGCAGCTGGACTGGAAGAACACAGTGAAGCAGGGAAAGGCAGTGTAAGTCTTGATAAGATAGAGAATGTGGTTAAACATGTACGTTCCCTGAACAGTGCAACAATAGAGAAGGTGCAGGTCCACCCACCTGAAGCTTTACAAGATATTCAAAAGAATGAGGAGGTGCCAACACCAACCCAAAAGAAAGCAAAGAAGACGGAAGTACTTACAGTTACAACTTCCCAGAAAGAAAATGATATTACTGTGAACACTCATGAGCAGATTAACAAGGAGGTTGTTGGACATGTGTGCTCTCCAACCTCAGCAGAAAAGAAGGTCAAGTTTACAACAATTGTTACTCTACAAAAAGAAAACATGCCAGCAAGTCCTGTCCAGACAAATGAAAGTATCAAAGAAGTACCAGCTGAGAAGAAGTCAGATGTAATCGTGGTTTTAACTTTACAAAAAGAAAACACCCCAGAGGATTGCTTGATAGAGTTGTCACCAAAGTTCCAGCAGGATAAGTACCTGTGCTCAGATCAGGAGTGTGTAGCTTCTTTTCAACTCCAACAACTTCCCCCTATTTCGCCCATCCTGACATACAGTCACGGCAGTAAGCAGCAGAACCAGGAGTCAACAGTGCAAGTATCCAGGGACCAATCTCAATATGCAGAAGAAGGAGGTAGCCTGAACCCAGAGATTTGGGATGATGAGGGACCTCCTCCTTCACCACCTAAAATAAGCCTTAGAATCTCGAAGACCAGAGTCAGGACACACTCCCAAGAGGAAGACCTAACCAAAATCATTGGCTCTGACATACAGAGTGTGACTGGGGACAGCACTGGTGAACCCACTTATCGGGAATATGAAAATCAAGGTTTTGAGGATAGCAATGACTCTGATATGAAACCTATTCTTGTTATCTTGAATGAGCTTGATATTCAGTCAGCTTATAAGCGTCTTTCCACAATCTTTGAATGTGAGGAAGATCTTGATGGGCTTCTCTCTCCGGAAAATATTGTGGATGAAGAGCAGACAAAGCAAGAACAGAAACAGGACGTAAAAAACATTTGTATAGATTCGGACATCACCGGAAATGGTCAGAGTTCTACACATTTGCAGCATCAAAAACCATCAGAAGATAATGGGTCAATTCCTAAAAAAAAAGAAGACCAGGATAAACCAGACTCCCCTAGAAAGGCAGAAACCAAAAGGAAATTCAAATTTAAGTTCCCCAAAAACAAACTGGCTGCAATTAGCCAGGCCATTCGAACAGGGACGACCAAAACAGGCAAGAACACTCTTGAGGTTGTTGTCTATGAGGAAGAGGAGGAGAAAGCACCAGATAGCAGGCCACTGAAGGAGACCAAGAAGCAGACAAAGAAGTTTGAGATCAACAGTACCAAACAAATGAACTCAGGTGAAAGCAATGCCTGTGACAGGGACATCAAAGTCTCCTCTCCTATTGATACTAGACACTCAAAGTCACATAGCCGGGTAGAGGAACTCTGCAAGAGCGCATTTGACTCTATTGACTATCTAGAAGAGTCAATTAAACAGTTGGAAATCAGTGTGGACAGTATAACTGCCCCTTCTTCACCCTCCTCCATTGTGTCTTCACCTCCTCAGTCCCCTGATTCTTCCTTTGACTCCACTGACAGAGCTCAGCATAAGGTCAAAGTCAAACAAGAACGGGAAAGAAGCCTGTCAAAGCGACCAGCCCCTCAGATCCTCAAAGGCCCAAATCCACCTCAGAGTAAGAGGGCCAAACCACAGCCTCCACATGACAAAGGGAAAACCTCCACCAAGAAACAGGTCTGATCTCCCTCTGCCTGTGGAGCTCGCTTGCTTCAGTGGTGGTGGGCTGGTGATGGGCTCTCTACTCTGACTAGCTCTAAAAACATTTTGGGTTCTATGAATCTTTCATAGCCAGGGAGTCCAGGAGTAAGTAGTCATTCTTACCAGGAACAACAAACTGACTTTTACTGGCCTTTTATCAGTGTAACCTGAAGGTTTAAATATATTGAAATTCTCTGCAAAGAATTTCCAAATAATGTAAATGTTTATTCAGACTAAACAAAAAACTAGTTTTGACTTGTGTTATCTGCACAATTTGACCTCTGGACTGAGCAGTTATGTGTTTATTTGCCACAATAGACCCACTGTACAAACATTAGCTCGGGCCAGTTAGAAATATAGTGTGTGTGGAGTGTGTCTGTGGCCTGTTTGAATTATACCACAGACCCTGACTGTTACTAGTAACTTTCTGTTCTCTATATCGCTCTCTCTTTCCTGTTGTCTTTACAAGTTAATGAATTGGCGCCTTGGAATAAAGGGGATTTTTCTTCTGTTTTTTTTTTTTGTTTTTTTTTTTTACTTTTTCTCTATAAACACATTATATGTGTCATAAAATAGCTGTTGAAAATACCAGATGAAGGCAAGCTGCTTATTATTAGTACAGAGATTGTTTATTATTAGTCTAACATAATTATACTGTGTTTGTCTAAATATTAAATACCATGTTTTGAGACAGACCATTCGATCAACAGAAATTTAATTTCTACATATTCCAAATCAATAAAATAAATGTATTATCTAACTTACACAGTTCTTTCCTT